TGGGTTGGGTAGGGGATTATTCACGTTGTACTTGCTTATCCATAAAACTCATCATCACCACCACTAGCCATAAATTTTGAATGGTCCCTAGGTACCCTTGAATTGGGCTTAAATTGGGTTGGGAAATTGAGTTGCCAGCACGACAGCATGAATTTGGGAAGTTATCTGATTGTTGAGAGTACCATTGGTTATTATACAACTGTTGCAGGTGTGCGGACGTAAAGGAAAGTAAATGAAAGCCACATGAAGATGGTCAGCAGCATTCTCACAAGTAACAAGCCAAAAACAGAGGAAGTACGATGCAAAGCGGAACACAGTGCTTCAACTCCAGAAGTATGTTTTCTTTTTCTCTCAGTGGAAACATAATTTTAGGGAATAAACATTCTCAATACTAACTCTTCTAATGAAATTGCAAACATTATTCGTCCATTGGTTATCTGTTTGTAAATTGCACTGTTTATAGGTAAAGAGTGCCCTACCGCCTTCCCCATTCCATTGGTTATCTGTTTGTACCGGTAAACCCAAGTCTCAGTTGTCAGTATTCGATTGGTATTAAAACTTGCTTGATACTGATGCATGTAATTTGTTGGTAGACGTCATTTTCACATTAACAGAATCTATCATAAAATTAATCATTGGAGTAAATCAAATTATTCATTACAAAAATACCATGAGCATCCTGTTTAAATAACTATTTCATTTTCAGATTATTCAAAGTGACCCTGTGGAGAATCGAAGGTGGAAGGAGGTCCCGCCGCTTCCAATTTATTAAATGCAGTGTGCAGATATTGTAAAAATAAATAAAAATATTTTAATGGTTCTGTATTTTTGTATTCAATATGTTTCCAACAAAAACATTGAGGTAGAGAGGCATAGGGTTGTCAAACCCGATATGCTAAGGAAAGTTCTTCTCGAGGTGCGATACCGGAAGCGAGAAAGGTGAGGTTCGAAGCCGAGCCTTGTTCCCAATAACCTCCTAGGGGATTGTCATCTGATAACCGCCCTAGGGGTTATATGATAACCAACCTCTGGACAAGGCTGCTTATCCGATAACCAACCCCTTGAGAGTGTGGTTCACAAAAGGAATAACCCAAGATATTGACCCGATAATCAACCCACGTGGTATATAACTGTATCACCAACCAACCGCGATATCGTAATATTCCAGATCCACATAGCTTATGGCGATCAGTGATGCATTTATTTTATAGTTCAACGAACGTTTATGTATCACGCGTTGCCACGGTTGACCCTGATATTTGATATATAGTTTTAACACGTGCAACTGATTTCCCCAGTAACCTTTGGATAGTTTGCTTTGTCAAATATTATTATCTGTCATCTTGCGGAGTTCAACATAACCCTGATATGTGCGTGTCTGATTTAAGATTGGTAATTGTAATCGCCTCAATAGGTAGAGGATTCTCAGAAATAACTTCAAATTTCAAAATCATCATTAGATATGTTAGCTTGTAGCAATATACTGAAAGGCAAAAGAAACGACGTAATACTGGAAATGTCATTTTAGTATCGATGGAGTATTTGAGCCTATCTTTTTTTAAATATACACCGGTGCAAAGCTGCTTCCAAACATCCCAGCTCTTGTACAGGCGGATCCAGTGCTTGCACTCGGCGCCCAAGAATGCCCCAGACAGGCTCCAATGGGTTCACATCCGGCTCAAAGCAGGCAATGGAAGTTTGGTTACAGTGTGGTTTGAGAAATACTGTCACAAGTCGAGACCGATGTGGTCAGGCGTTGTCATCCATAAATACAGGGCGAGCGGTGGTTATCAAAATGTGGCACAAGAACAGGATCCAGAATGTCCCGGATGTCATGGCTGCCAGTGAGATTCCACGATCAGTTACCACGTCAAGTTTACAATATTGGGAGAGACAACCCCAGACCGTGACAGATCATCCACCGTAAGGAACTCATGTTCTGGTGTTCTAAGGGGCGGTGGGGTAGCCTAGTGGTTAAAGCGTTCGCTCGTCACGCCGAAGACCCGGGTTAGAATCCCCACATGGGTACAATGTGTGAAGCCCATTTCTGGTGTCCCCCCGCCGTGATGTTGCTGGAATATCGCTAAAAGCGGCGTAAAACCAAACTCAGCCAGTCAGTCTAGTGTTCTTAGGTTCATAGGCACTGTTCTTGGTCCCCAAGACTCGCTGGCGCCCGTCTATGATGTGCAATAACAAGTGACTCTCATCCGACCAATGCACCGTCCTCCATGACGTCAAATTCCAATGACGTTGGGGTAAACACCACTCCAAATAAGCCCTCTTGTGAAGATTCGTCATGGCTGGACGCTTGATCACCCTTCTTGCCCTCCTTTTATGCGGTTTCTTACAGTCCTATTTGCACAGATGTCTGTTGGGGAGCCACAGGTGCATTAAATGTCATCGTTACAATTCAAGATTTATATATCAATAGGTAAGTCAGTAACTTATGTTACGGGGCTGCTTAATTAGGTATCATGTGTATATATTGGGGACCACGCATCGCGTTTCCACAGTCAAACACATGGCAACAGAATAATTGTATCACAAACTTTATACCAGCCGCGACAAATGACATTTAAGTATCAGTGGAGTATTTGAATCTTTTTTTTAAACATACACCGGAAGTCAGGTTTGAGGAAACCATGAATCGTGGTCGTATAGCCTGCATTGCCCACTAAAGTATTGTTTGAGATTGAAGTAAGAAATGTTTCCAATATTACGACGTTTCATTTGCCTTTCAGTATAGTTTTTGCGCAATATGCAACCATGTGAATCTCCAAAGGCTGATGTGAGGGAGTCTGGGCAAGTTCAACCAACGTGTTCGGTGGCCTATGGCGTTAACGCCACTCTGTTAGGTCTAACACGTGTTCGGTGGCTATGGCGTTAACGCCACTCTGTTAGGTCTAAGACGTTCAACTGGCGTCAGGTCTGGGTTGATTACTGGTCAAGACGATGAACAGGGGCGTTGACGACGTCAAAGACCAAATGTCGACCCCTCACCACGGGACAACAAATGGACTCCGTGTGGTAACACTATAATACTGTCCACATACTCTTCCTTACTCTGCCATGCCGCCCCGCACCAAAAGTGATTCATCGCCATATTGGAAAATTTGCAGCAATCTGGATCGACGTGTAAGCTCCATTTCGTAAAGCCCCTTTCCTGATCAACCGATTCCGGAATTTTGTGATTGGTCTGGGACACTTGAACGTCATCTGTCAGGGTTTGTTGATACTTGTGCCATTGTCCTGTCATAGCAGGCTAACAGCCTATGGAGAATCAGAGCGTTATAAACACCTCATCGCTAGTTGATAAATGCAGAACCAGATCCCTACTGTAGGAACCCGCGAAAATGCTCGTTAGAGGTTTTGTCTAGCTTATTGTACCTATTGTGACCTGTTGAAAGTATTAATGATTTATATTGTGATACTGATTTCATGACCTAATTTGCAAAGCAGGTCATCACGCAAATCTACCACTAACCTTTCAAAAAATAAGAAGGCTTCTTTTGTGTCGTCCACTTGTAAGAACAAACTAGATTTATTGAAGTTATAAATGTATTACACCGGTTAGAACTGGTCTTCAACAGCCCATGCTTGTCGTAAGAAACGACTAACGGTATCGGCTGATCAGACTCGCTGACTTGGTTGACACATGTCATCAGTTCCCAATTGTGTTGATTGATGCTCATGCTGTTCATCACTGGATTGTCTGGTCCAGACTCGATTATTTACAGACCGCCGCCATATAACTGGAATATTGCTGAGTGCACGCTAACAAAACAAAACAGACACACAAACAGTGATGCCAACCTCTTGCGATGTTGGTAGCAAGGTAATGAAAAGTAAAACAAACATCATTAACAGTGGACACAATATAGTTACGGTGTATTATGAAATTCACTCTCCGGATCTGGAAACCGGATTTCTGATTAAAAGAAACAAACAAAACAAACAATAAGGTGGACAGAAATATTGGTCCACAGAGATTAATCGACCTTCAAGTGAAAGTATCGAAATCAAGAATGACACCCAAACTGTGTGTGTAGCGCTACAGCGCGCAAACTATCGGATATGTGTTTGTGTTCAGTCTTTACAGACATAAATGGGGCGGTTGGATAGCCTAGTGGTTAAAGCGTTCACTCTTTACGCCGGGTTCGATTCATCACATGGGTATAATGTGTGAAGCCCATTTCTGGTGTGCCCCACCGTGATATTCCTGGAAATTTGCTAAAGGCGGCGTAAAACCATACTCACTCACTTACTGACATAAACGTTATTTTGTCACCACGTATCATTATTCTAATACTTAGTATTACGCTGGCGGAGACATAAGGATTTTACGTAAGGATCCGATGATTCCTTTGATCCAGGAGTTCAATGAGTTAGTGTAGTTTGTCTGACTTTATTTAGTTTTGGGGAAATTGTTGAAAGTATTAATGCCTTATATTGTGATGTTGATTTCATCATCTGATTTACAAAGCAGGTCCTCTTGCAAATTCATCTATTGACCTAATAAAGGTAATGGGGCTCACTTCGTGATGTCCTGTTGCATGAATAAACTTGGTTTATTGAAGTTTATACATATAAATATACCTTTGAAGATCCGAGTTATAATTGGACTTCAGCAACCAAGGCTTGTAAAAGGCGACTAACGAGATCAGGTGGTCATACTCGATGACTTGGTCATCGTGTCCAAGAAACGTAGATCGATGATCATGTCAGTCACTGTATCGTCTGGTCCAGATTCGATTATTTACAGACCACTTTCATATAGCTGGAATAATGCTGAGTGCCACGTTAAACAGAAAATGTAACAGAAAGAATGGGTATATGCTGTGTTTGAGAAACTGTTTTTGCAGTGTGGACCCTTGCCTCCTTTCACAAAGCACAAAGGTGATCGTAAGTCACTAACCTTAGTGCAATATTTAAAAATGGGAGTTAAGGTTAACCTTAATAAAGGTTGCTTCGTGAAAGGAGACGAGTTGTTTCAGACATGATCACTTTTCCGCATAAAAACTAAGTGTTCTTGCTGAAGGGTCAGTCGCATCTGTCCAGCGCGGCATCCACATATACGGAACCCAGTCTGCCTTGGACGGGTAGTACTTCTCAAACACCTGCCTGTAGTAGAACGCTTCCTTCGTCCTGGGGTGTTGAAGGGGAAGAGGATGCTGACTGTTCCATCTGTTCCTCACTAACCTGGAACAGTTACAATTACAGCAATTCATTCATTAGAACGACATGGCTAGGATAACAGAGCCCTACAGATTCTTCCTGAATCGTATTTTTGTATTTCCGTGTGCTGGGTGTGTATTTTCGAAAGTTACCCAAATGATAGGACATTACAGGGCCATACATGGTTTTGTATGAAAATCAGTGGGTTTTGTTAAAATGAGCAATTATCATCATAAAATAGACATGGATTCAAGGTATTTTGTCGTTTAAAAATAGACATGGATTCCACGCATTTGTCGTTTAAAATAGACATGGATTCGTTTAAAATAGACAGGCATTTTTGTCGTTTAAAATAGACATGGATTCCAGGTATTTTGTCGTTTAAAATAGACATGGATTCCAGGCATTTGTCGTTTAAAATAGACATGGATTCCAGGCATTTGTCGTTTAAAATAGACATGGATTCCAGGCATTTGTCGTTTAAAAATAGACATGGATTCCAGGCATTTGTCGTTTTAAATAGACATGGATTCCAGGCATTTGTCGTTTAAAATAGACATGGATTCCAGGCATTTGTCGTTTAAAAAGACATGGATTCCAGGTATTTGTCGTTTAAAATAGACATGGATTCCAGGTATTTTGTCGTTTAAAATAGACATGGATTCCAGGCATTTGTCGTTTAAAAAGACATGGATTCCAGGTATTTGTCGTTTAAAATTTGTCGTTTAGACATGGATTCCAGGTATTTTGTCGTTTAAAATAGACATGGATTCCAGGCATTTGTCGTTTAAAAAGACATGGATTCCAGGTATTTGTCGTTTAAAATAGACATGGATTCCAGGTATTTTGTCGTTTAAAAATAGACATGGATTCCAGGCATTTGTCGTTTAAAATAGACATGGATTCCAGGCATTTGTCGTTTAAAATAGACATGGATTCCAGGCATTTGTCGTTTAAAATAGACATGGATTCCAGGTATTTGTCGTTTAAAATAGACATGGATTCCAGGCATTTGTCGTTTCAAATAGACATGGATTCCAGGTATTTTGTCGTTTTCATGAGTCAAAGGATCATACTCATGTTTTTCCATCGTGGTCACCACGAGAAGCTTTATGTACGTGTTGAAAATCTATCATTGCAAAATACAGGGGTGCTTCAGTATAGATTAGTAAATCTACATACATAAACACTACCTTTTGACAAATCCGCTGTGTAAGATAAAAGTTATTTATCAATCAACGTGTTATCCGTTAATCCTTTGATCGATGTTTATAATGTTGAATATGACAGAATCGTCTATGAAAACAAGTTGTAACTCGGAAGCTAGGCAAAGCAGGAGACAAAATTAAATGACAGTAGATTGTGAGAACATATAGCTTTCATTTTCCACAACAGTTGGATTTCAGGTTTATACAAACCTGTAAACAAGATAATTTACCCCCTGAAATGTAGATGAATTCTGCATTGGCCCTCATATCTATTTCTCATATGACGTCACAGAGACGCCCCGCTCTGATTGGTTGAAATTTCATTTGCGGGTGAGAATTGTGCACTGTTGTCAAAAGGTCGATTTAAGTTAATTAAAGACCGAAGTGAGTAGTTTTTAATGACGGGGTTTCATTTATAGCGATGCCAGTTAGTGATTTATGTATTTGTACCCCCTAGAGTATATGTGATCTTTTAAGTTCTTTGCGTATATTTTCGTTGTTTCACGTTACCAATTACCTGTTCATCACAGAAATTTTGTATGACCTCAAAGAGTGACCTCTTGACAGCCGAGACTCCATCGCTGAAGGCCTCCTTCGGCCTCCACAGGATGTCCTTGGGCAGGAGGTTCATGCCATCAAAGGCTGACCGGAGGAGGTACTTCTCCACCCCCTTCCTGGGGACGCGGTCCTCGGCAGGGAGGGACAGGTAGTAGCTGGTGAACTGATGGTCAAGGAAGGGGACCCTGATCTCCAGTCTTGGGAACAGGACGTATAAAAGATTTAAATAGACATTTACAGTGTGTATTACAACAGCATACCTTAACGGTTGCAAGAACACATAAACACCTTTCAATGGTAGCACGGTAGCATTCAGATACATGGCATGTCCCTGCTCAATCTAACACAGGTCACATGTCAAGCCCCATGGCACCCCAGAGATCCTTCACTGTCTCACTGCACCCAATCCTGGTTCTGTTTAAATTAACTAGGAAACTAGGAATGGATGTGGGACACCTCAGAGATCTTGAAGTGTCTCTGCACCCAATCCTGGTTCTGTTTATTAACTACGAATGGGTGCGGTACACCCCAGAGATCTTGATATCTCACGGCATCCAATCCTGGTTCTGTTTATTAACTACGAATGGATGGGGTCATTCCGAGGATCCTGAGCTCTCTCTACTCCTAATCCTGGCTCTGTTTATTAACTACGAATGGATGGGGGTCATCCCGAGGATCCTGAGCTCTCTCTACTTCCAATCCTGGTTCTGTTTATTAACTAGGAATGGATCGGGGCGCCCCAGATGATACTTTAACTCACCCCAGGCTGCTGTGGCCTTGTCCCCTCTCAGCACGTCATACAAGTGGAGGTCCTTCAGAAGTCTCCGACTCTCCTCATCCGCAGCTTCAGGTGATGGGGCTTTTTTGAAGTGGATGTACCCCTGGGCCAGCTCGTCAGACCCCTCACCGGACAGGATGACCACTGTGTCCGTCCTCTCGCTGATGTACTTACTGAGAAGGTATAAACCTGGAAATAACATCTAACATATGACTTTTCTATTTTGTTATGGAGGAGCGTTGATATTTAAGGCAGTGAGTGAATGAGTGAGGAGTTTAGTTTACGCCACACTCAGCAATATTCCAGCTATATGGCGGCAATCTGTAAATAATCGAGTTTGGACCAGACAATCCAGTGATTAACAGCATGAACATCGAACTACACAACTGGGATACGATGACAAGTGTCACCCAAGTCAGCGCGCCCGACCACCCGATCCCGTTAGTCGCCTCTTACGACAAGCATGGGTTACTGAAGACCAATTCTAACCTTCACGGGTCTGATATTTTAAATTAAAGTAGATAAGACTGTGATGATGAAGTTAAACATGTAAGGTAAGCTGGATTAGAATTATTTTATAATATCAGAAAAATGAGTTGTGTAGGATTAGGCTTAAAGGTATAAAACCGGTCCAGTAAAGAAACTGGTCCAGAGATTTGGCTTTGTCAACCTGAAAACATCATTACGGTCTTATCCGGTAATATTAGAAAATTGTATCAGAATGCTCAAGGTTTAGTCTATTTAGCATTTGCATATAGTCATACGTACAAATTGAAGATCTGATGGTTGTGATGTCGTATGTCTCAATGTGGCAAATGCATTCATCTATGATACTGCAGGCTTCTTGGCGTGTGAAGGTAATTTCATGATGTTCAGTGTCCAAATGTCTTGCGACCTACATGGAAACACATACATTATAAAGACAACGTGAACGTTCAAATATGGCAACGAAATATAGAATGTAAGTTCATTTTCTCTCAGGAGCAACCATACATTTTGAGGCATTCGCGTGGTACAGCTTGTTAGTGTAACTTGATGAATGCAATCAGTAGTATTAACTGAAGTGTTTAGCTCCGCCGTAATGGTTTGGCTCGTTGAGTATTCGTTTCTTAACCCAGTGGCGTATGGCTGCCATGGTATCTGTTCTCCCTCAATGCCAACGCTGAAGGTCTGAATGGGGTAATATCATGCTCCAGCACTCACCTTCCCAGCTGCCATGATATCTGTACTACCCTCCATGCCAGTAGAGAAGGGTCTGTGTGGGGTAATGTAATGATGCAAGACTCACCTTTCTAGCTGCCAGGATATCTGTACTACCCTCCATGCCGGTAGAGAAGGGTCTGTGTGGGGTAATGTAATGATGCAAGACTCACCTTTCTAGCTGCCAGGATATCTGTACCACCCTCCATGCCGGTAGAGAAGGGTCTGTGTGGGGTAATGTAATGATGCAAGACTCACCTTTCTAGCTGCCAGGATATGTGTACTACCCTCCACGCTAATAGAGAAGGTCTGTATGGGGTAATGCTATGCTCCAACACTCACCTTCCTAGCTGCTATGATGTCCGTACTCCCCTCCATGCCAATAGAGAAGGTCTGTATGGGGTAGGGCAGTTTCTGTTCCTTGGCATGCTTAACCACCAACGCCGTTACCAGACTCGAGTCGAGGCCACCTTTGGAATGACACAACCGGAAAGATGCATTCTATCACCTATCCAGCCAAAGCGCAGTTTTAATTATTGATATGGTAGAAAAGACCCCTTTCTGAGTAATTTCAGGTTGTCCCTGGTATTTATTATTTTGATAAACTTTTATACTGTAAACAATATGGGAACGTATTCATGATTCTAATAGTTGGTTGACTGCCTCGGATATCCAGCAAATGGTGCCTGAACACTTGATATTCTGAGGATTGGGGGTTGGGGGGTTGTTAGTGTGTGTGTGTGTGTGTGGGGGTTTGTTGTATTTGCGGCTGTCTCATTTGACCCTAACTCATGAACACTACATCAATACTATGGATTTCAGTCTGATAGATACCTTACTCTTGCACCTTTTGTAATCGAAGGCCAACTCACCCGACAAAAGACACCCAATCCTTCTTTCGGCCATTAGGCGTTTCTTCACTGCCGCCTCTAGCAGTGCCCGGATGTTCTTTGCCACGCCACTTCCTGTAGAAACAAGATTCCATTTGGAATATAACACTATATGTTACTGTATGCAACATAAGTATTATGTGCCATTGTTTAAAGATTATACCAATGGTGCTTATTCGAACTGAATATAAGCAAACTACAACAGTTAAAAGTGCGTGGAGCTTCCATGTAAGAATAGAGGGTCCGCTCAATATTTGCCCGTCCCAAAGAGGGGACTACATGGATCGGGTAATTAGTCTTCAATATTTATATTTATTTTCAGGGTAGAATTCTGTATTAAAAATATAATCGGTTCTCTTTGCTAAATTGCTCGTCACACCGAAGACCTGGGCTCGCTTCCCCCACATGGGTACAATGTGTGAAGCCCATTTCTGGTGTTCCCCGCCGTGATATTGCTGGAATACTGATAAAAGAGGCGTAAAACCCAAACTCACTCACTCACACTCACTTTACTAAATCAATCAGCCAGTGGACTCATATTCAATTTGGTTATGTCACAATACATATGTCAATAAATTCTTGTACAACATAACTATTTCTACATGTATTATCATTGTACTTATCAAAAATATATTGTAAGCAGTAAGCATTCCACACAGAAATTTGTATTTCAACACAGTTTGTAATCTGGGCCACGAGGCCTCCGATACTGAATAAAGACATAAAGACTTAAAGACTTAAAGACTCAGGTCCTGGGCCTAGATTTTCGAAGCTCTCTTAGCGCTAAGATAGTCGTAAGCGTCATACATTAACATTAACGTACGACAATCGTAGCGCTAAGAGAGCTTCGAAATTTAGGGGCTGGAGGTTTACAATTGTCGGGTTCTCCGTAGACATCACTGCGGGCTCCCAGTTTTGCCAACCATGTGGTTCGTCGAAAACTCAGGCCAAGTCATTTCATCAGCATAAAACTGAGACCTCAACTTGTGGTCAAATAACATTTTGCGTCTAAACAATTTTGTAATTTGTTAAATATGTTTTGATGACCAACCTTTACATAATTAAACCGTCATATTTTTTTCTACTGTAATTATTGCTCTGTTATAAGTTCGAACTTAGTAACAACGGTACTTTTCAAACTGGTGCGTGAATAGTTTTGTAGACTACATAGAGTCTGCACTTACATGACTATCGTCTAATACAAGCACTGACTGGCTGACTGACTGAGTTTAGTTTTACGCCGCTTTTAGCAATATTCCAGCAATATCACGGCGGGGGACACCAGAAATGGGCTTTACACATTGTGCCAATGTGGGAATTGAACCCGGTTCTTTGGCGTGACGAGCCAACGCTTTAACCACTAGGCTACCCACCGCCCCTCTAATGCAAGCACATAACTGAGACATTTACCAAGTGAGTCGGGAGGGACGGTTGTTTTGTACAGGGGTGTCGCCAATAGAGTGGAACTGTTTCATCTTCCGGAACGTGGCGTCCGTTGTTGTCGAGGTCGTACTGTTCCACTGTACCGGGGACGACGTGGACGATGTCAGCTGCCTCGTCGCTTACGTTGTGGCTCAATCCAAACAAACCTATGAGTGAGTGAGTGAGGTTGTTTACACAATATAGGATGGATTTTGGCGTGTTAGAATGTGGGAGCAATCCCAATTTACAGATGTGACGTGGTGCTAAACAAATAAGCAATCACAGCGGGGATGAAATATGGACAAAAAATGATGGAAAGTTTCCACGCTTTAGTGGACCCGTGAATAGCCCGGTTAGAATTGGTCTCAAGCAACCCATGTTTGTCGTAAGTGGCGACCATCGGGTGGTCAGGTTTGCTGTCATTGCATCCCAATTGCATAGATTGATGCTCATGATGTTGATCACTGGACTGCCTGGGCCAGATTCGATCATTTACAGACTGACGTCATTTAGCAGGAAAAGCAAACAATCATCAAGCAGACTTTTATGACTTTTTACTCTAAAAATAGAATATGATATTTTAACATATGACCTTTAGCCTCTGAGCACACAGCCAGGAAGCCACTATCGGTGACAAGCTTGAAGCAGGAGCGGACTCCAAAAGTGTCTCGACCAATGAAAACTTTCCTGTTGGCTGTGTCGAGAAGACAGAAGGCGAACACCCCATCCAGGTGGGCGGGGAAATCAATACCATATTTGGCATACAGGTGAATGATTGGTTCTCCGTCGCAATCTGTGCTCGGGTGAAATCCATGCTGATTCGCTACCTTTTGGAGGACAAGCGTATTTGAAATTGCATCACAATTCTTTGCAAACCATCGTGCGTCACTATTTATCCTAACGTCACAATGAAATTACATCTCACTACCACTGAGGCTTTACATACTTACAAACCAAAAACGTTCTAAGAATGATTTTGGATTTTAAATAGAATCCCCTTTTGGGATGAAATAAACATATGAAAGATATGTAAATATGAAAGATTACATTAAATGAAAAGAAAATATTTTTTATGTATCATGACTATGTGTTGGATAAACCTATTTGTCTGAATATTTGGGCTGAATATAGACCAAGGACATAGCCGGAAATAAAAATATCAGGATCGTTGAGTGCAAATGGCAGCAAATTTATTGAAGCGCACGTACAATATTGATCATTGGTCTTGGACCTTAATCGGGCCTTTGATCACAAATACATGCACATCCACAGCGTTTGTCACCTTCGTTACCCTCTCGGCATATAAGGACTCTGCTGTGATGATAGTTTACTTACTTTTTAACAGTTCCCGAGGTCTCCTGACTACAGAAGTTCCTGGAGCTTACTGTACGTTTAAAAGACCCGACACTTTTCTTATATCTGCGTTCAATCCACTTGCCTATTGGTAAACTCCGATTTTTCTGTCTGTCTGTATTCATGACATCCAACTTTAGCAAATAATGGACAGTCTGTGTGTGCATGTGCGTGTGTGTGAATATAACTTCGTAAGTGTACATAGATTTTGCAAGGTGCATTCTTATTTCAAAATTAAGTTCTGTAGGTACCGATTTCTCGACAAGTGTGTTATATTTTTTGCTGTTCAGCTCGTCAATCAATACATAACAGAAAAAATATTATTGTACCGACTTCGTGATGGATGCTTGATGAATAGACCTAGAACATGTCGTATGATGGCTGGTTATTAAATAAACCGACATACTGTTTTATAGTTGTAGATCTCCCCGTTGTATATCAGCCATATGTGAGGATGAGTGTACAATCTCATTGGCTGCATCCCTCTGACGTCATCAAGGATGGCCAATCGGTGGAATCCAAGACAGCAGTTCTGGAAATGGTTGATCTTTTCTATTCTGAAGGCGTCTGGTCCCCGATGTGCCACCTTGTGGAACACCTTACACTGCACGGAGACATCTACATCACTACCGAACACGGCCCAGATCCCACACATGGCGCTGCCTGAAATTTGGTTCTATATTTGTATAAATTCTATATAAATACCGTTTGTATTAAAGCACCGTTTGACTGACACTGAAAGGCGTGCCATCATAGTCTGAACTTTTACACAAATCTACAAGGCGGATTTTTCTGCAAAATCAAATTGTTGAATCAATAGTGAGTGTGACCACCACTGGCTTCAATACACGCCAAAACACGTCGACGCATTGATGACGTAAGACGACGAATGACGTTAGACGTGATCCGTTGCTGTTCCTGTAGGAGACATCGTTCCAGTTGTTGAGCGGTGGCAGGTTGCGCTGGTAGTCTTCTGATTTGTCGATCCAGGTAGTCCCATAAGTGTTCTATCGGATTCATGTCGAGAGAACATGCTGGCCACGGCAAACCAAAGATGTTAGCGTTACTGAGAAGGTCGTTTGTCAGTCTTGCTGTATGAGGCCTTGCGTTATCGTGTTGGTAGACAATGCCACGTGGTTGTTGCTGGTTAAATGACAACACAGCTGATCACCAAACTTCATCCCTCTATCTTCGAGCATTCAGGATGCCATGAATAATCACAAGTCTCGTTTTGAGCTTGCGACAGACCCACCCCACACCATCACGCTACCGTCTCCAAACAGTCGGACTTGCTGAACGCAATTCGGCAAAATACGTTCGCCTACTCTTCTGTAAACACGAGCACGGCCGTCATTACTGTACAGGCAAAACCTACTCTCGTCGATAAACGTCACACGTCGCCAATCACGCATCTGCCAACGTCGAACTCGCCTGGCCCATGTCAATCGACGACTGTCGGTTTTGAAGAGTGAGATGCACTCCGCGGTAGAGTCGACGTGCTCGAATACCATGTTCTCTTAGTCGCCGGTACACTGTATGTCGACTGATACGTTGTCCTAGTACCGTCGCACCCGTTGACGTCGCCGATTTCTCAGATGAATTGTCCGGATGTGGCGATCATCACCAGGCGTTGTCACACGTGGGTCGACCACTCCAAGGCCTGTCTGACATATTGCCTGTTTGTCTTAGTCGTTGCATCAGCCTGATGACAGTTGCTCGGGTGCAGCCGAACGTTCTGGCAATGACGGTGTGGTTAGCTCCTTGTTGGGCCATTCCGACAGCTCTCTCTCACTCTTTCGATTTGCCCCAAACGTGGCATTTTTGTGTTCTTTTTACTACTGCGTTGCTCACGTGTCATATCATATCTAATTTTTGCAAGATACCCACTTTTTGAAAGAAAAGGAACCTTTTATTAGAAGTGAATGGGGCTCTGATGTACTATTTAATAGTAATAACGGGCAGTCAAGAGGAGTCGCCGTCATGTTTTCTCATAGCATTATAGCTGGGGCTTTAAATTTGTGTCTACAACAGTCTTTGGATACTTTTAATTATCAACATATAAACAACCCTAATGCTAGAAAGCAAGTGATTGAGATGATTGGAGATCTTGACCTTGTAGATGTTCGGAGAGACCATAACCAAGAAGTACACAGCTATACATGGAGGCGTCCTAATCCTATCAGACAAGCAAGGCGAGATTTCTTCCTGGTGTCGCCGAATTTATATTCATTATTTGTCAGTCCTCTATAAATGTTGGATACAGAACAGACCATTCGCTTATTGACATTAAAATGAAATTATCTGAAAATGATGATCATAAAAGTACATATTGGAAATTCAACAATTCACTATTAAGGGATTCTAAATATGTTTTATCTGTTAAAGAAACCATTAGTAATGTTGTCAGATAATATGCTCCTTCATTGGATCATGATAGTGATATTGGTGAGGTCAGCGTGTGTGAAATTGATTTTTCTGTAAATGATCAGTTGTTTTTGGAAACGCTTCTAATGGAAATCAGGGGAAAGTCTATTTCATATTCTTCATTTTGGAAAAAAACTCAATCCAAAAAAGATTTATTAGATGACATTAAACGTTTAGAAACCAACTTATCAGATTGTAAGGAACTGGAGGAAAAAAGGACAGAATTAGAGGAGATTCGCAAAGCTCAGATGCAGGGCATTATTATTATTCGCTCAAGAGCTATGGGATAGACGAAGGGGAAGAGGTTAGTCGTTATTTTTGCAATCTAGAAAACAGGAATTTTGTAAATAAGGGTATGTCTCACTTGGAGCTGGAAGATGGGTCTATTCTAGAGAGTACAAGCGATATAGTCTTTGAAACAAAGTATTTTAATGAACGATTGTACTCTTCCCAGGATTGTAACCTTGATGAATGTTTTTCAGAGGAAGATTTGTGTAGGCTCAATAAAGAAGAATCGAACTCATTAGAAGGTCCAATAACTTATGATGAACTTCTAAAATGTCTGAAGAAGGCCAAAAGTAATAAAAGTCCAGGTTCGGATGGGTTCACGTATGAGGTTTATAAAAGAAATTTGAAAGATTTATCCCCTTTCTTGTTAAGGTCTTTTAATTATAGCTTTGCTAATGGTTACCTGCCAGTCACTCAGAGACAAGGTATCATTACCTGTATTCCAAAAGGAGATAAGCCCAAGCCTTTTTTGAAAAACTGGAGACCTATTACACTTCTCAATACTGCCTATAAATTTCTTTCATCTGTTGTTGCTGAGAGGTTCAAGTGCGTTCTCCCAATATTGATCAGTCCTTATCAAACAAGATTCATGTCTAACAGATACATTGGTGATAACATAACATTGATATATAATTTGATGAATTACACAGAATCTAATGATATTCCTGGAATGTTATTTTTAATAGATTTTGAAAAGGCATTTGATTAATGCCTGGTCATTTATTAATAAGACATTATCATTTTTTGGATTGGGAGAGGACATTATCAAGTGGTTCACTATTCTTTATAATGATGCCAGATCTTGTTTGATTATAAATGGTACATTGTCTCCTTGGTTTGATGTTGAACGAGGTTGTAGACAAGGCGATCCTCTTTCTCCGTATATCTTCATCCTTTTTGTCGAGATCCTGGCTGGTCTTATAAGAAAGAATAATGATATTAAAGGAATTACAGTTAATGAGGAGGAGTATCTGTTGACGCAATATGCAGATGATACAGAGTTTATTCTAGATGGTTCTCAGAAATCTTTTGTACTACTGTTGACACTTTAAACTTCTTTGCTGATATCTCAGGTCTTAAGATTAACTATGATAAGTCTCAGGTAATATGGATAGGGACCAGAAAGAACAGTTCAATCAGATACTTACCTTGTTTGAACATACAAAGGAATCCAGAATATTTTATGCTCCTGGGTGTAATATTTTCAACAGATTTAAATGTTATGGATCGAAAGAATTTTGAAAATAAATTATTTGAGATTCAGTTTATTATCAACAGGTGGATGAGAAGAATAATTACACCACTTGGTAGAATTGCTATCATAAAATCATTACTGATTTCAAAATTGAATTATCTCTTTCTTACCCTCCCAACCACCCCCACCCCCACCCCACCCCCCACCCCCCCCACCCCACCCCCACCCACCCCGGCAACTTCCTGCATGAATTAAACAAAGTACTATTTAAATCTCTCTGGAGTGGTAAACCTGATAAGATCAAAGAGTGGTGGCTTGTAAGCCTGTTAAAGAGGGTGGACTTGGTATGGTAGAAGCTTCTTCTTATGTTAGTTCTTTAAAATTGTCTTGGATGAGAAAGTTGTTGGATATTGGCTATGAATCCAAATGGAAATGTTTGTGCTATGCTTCCTCCCCCAAAATGGAAAATTTAGCTGTATTTGGTAATTCTTTTCCAGGTACACTCTCTAAATATATTAAGAATGAATTTTGGCATGATTGTATTTCTGCTTTTGACAAGTTTGCACATAAGATTTAACCATGTTCATTTGATCAATTCATCACAGAACCAATCTATTATAACAAGCACTTAAAAATTGGTAAAGAAGTTATTTTCTGTTCTGCTTGATTTGAGAGAGGTGTTAGTCAGATTCGTGATTTTATCAATTTAGACGGAAGATATCGTACTCTCGAGGAATTTCAGAACACTTTTGAACTCGACATAAATTTGCTCCATTATAATGGTCTTATCATGCCTATTAAAACTTATCAAACTAAGTTAAAGATAATGAAACCTACTTCTTTTGAGCCATTAGATGGTAATACAGTTAATCGAAAACTGATGTCTGTTAATAGGGGAGCCAAGTGTTATTACTATGTTTTGACTGCATCTGATGTAAACTTAAAATTCATGAATGAGTGGGAGGATTGTATGCTTGCTGAACTTGAATGGGAAAAATATTTTTAAAACCTTTAAAGACTACAAGGGATACTAAACTTCAATGGTTTCAGTTCAGGATTATACATGGTATTCTGTCAACTAATTCATTTTTATTTAAGATCAAATTAGCTGAAAGCAACTTATGTACCTTTTGCCAAAGTGAGGTTGAAACAATCCCCCACTTGTTTTGGTATTGTGAACATGTGCAAGCTTTTTGGAAATGTTTTCTAGAATTATTGAATGATAAATGTCAACATGTTCACAACATGAAATTGGACCTGCAACTTACTGTGTTTGGAATGAGAACAAATGTATATACTGATAATGTGTTTGATTTAATATTGTTGTTAGCTAAATTCTTCATATATAAATGTAAGGTATTAAAAACTACTCTTAGTTTTAAACATTTTAGACATTATTTACAAGACAGGTATTTTATCGAAAAGAATATATCCTTCAGTAAAAGTGAACAAGACACGTTTTATAAAAAGTGGATGTTATATCATGATTTTGCAAATTTTAAATGATTTTCTTTCTTCTTGTTCCCTAATGAAAAATATAGACTGAATGAACCTGAACTTAAACTTACTGTAAATATTTGAAACTTGTGTGATTGGTGAGTGAATGTGTTGTGGTGTCTGGTGTTGTTGTTTTGTGCTTGGTTAAGAAAGAAATCCTGTTTTTCCTGTTATCAATTAACTTTTCTTGCAAAGGACCCTAGAGTTTCCTGGCTCTAAAGCCTTTTCTGTAACAGGGGAAGCAGGAAATA